GGCCACGGGACCACCATGGCGGTGGTGGAAAAGGAGCAGCCACACTCGAGGGCATCACCCAAACACATTTTACTAGCTCTAAATAAAAAATAATATAAAAAAAGCGCCACAATTTGCAGCTATGAACAGCACCCGCAGGACTGAATCCCCCCGGACCAGCCTTCCCTGGCGCCCTGAGTGCCAGCATTCCTCCGTGGAGTTACTGAGCCTGGCCGCATGCCGGCCGCCTGCAGCCCTCCTTGGAGCAGGGGCTTCGCTTACAGGGTCTGGAGAGGAGCGAAGGTTTGGGGCGCACGTGCTCTTCCCCTCGGTTGCTGCCACCCCACTGGGTTGTGGCTCTGGAAAAGTTTTTATGGCCCTGGTTCAACGCTCTGTGCTCCCTCCCCGGGGAGCACGGCTGCCAGCCCGCAGCGAGAGGCGATGCCTGGGCTGGGGGCGGTGGAGGTCTCCTGGGTCGGGGGAGCAGGGAGAGCCGTGGCTGATGTTTCAGGGTGCTGGAGCCGGGCAGCCCCTGGATGGGGATCACCGCCAGCCTGGCCTCTGCCTCCAGCACAGCCCACGCGGCACCGGGACCTCGTGCGTCGGCAGCCCGGCGTGGGGACAGGCACTGTCTGTGGGGACGAAGGGACGTGCAGTCTGCGTGCAGGCACAAAGCAGCTCCGGTGAGTGGGGGGGCAGCGGGGGCCGCAGTCCTCCCCGCTTGCCCCCGGCGCCGGTGGCAGCTCACTTGTGGATGGGGTGGACGTAGTTGCGGGGAAAGAGGCCGACGCGCCCATAGATCTTCCCCTGCCACCAGTTGGGGTCGGGGTAGTCCAGGACCTCGATGATGTCCCCGCGGAGGAAGGGCAGCTGAGAGCCATCGTGGGCCGAGAAGTCGAACTGGGCTTGCACGAATTTGGGTCTCCTCACCTGGAGGAAAGTTGAGGGCAGGGGTTGGCGGGGGGAGAGGTGCCCCTGTCTGCCAGCCCCTCTGCACCGGCTTGCGCTGCCTGAGTCCCCAGCGTGACGGGGATGCCGTGCCACTGTGTGGCGAGGACCAGCCTGGGGGGGCCAGAGCACAGAGGGTGCGAGGGTACCTGGGGTGCCCGCTTCGAGGACAAGAGACGGGAGCTAGGGAAATCCTGCCACGGCAAGAGCTGGAGTGCTGGGGACAGCCCTGGGCGCATGGCAGAGCCTGGGGAGGAGGTGAGAGCCTGGGGTGCAGGGGAGCACCCTGGGGTTCAGCCAGAGCCTGGGGTGCAGGGGAGCACCCCAGGGCACAGGGCTCCCTCATCCTGCTGCCTGGGAAAGCTGAGATGGGTGCCCAGAGGACCCCTACCCCTCGAAGACAGCTGGCACCCCTCTCCTTCCCCGGTCCTTCCCGGGTCCCTCCGGCTGCCGGAGCAGCCCCCAGCCCAGCTCGCAGGGCCCAGTTTCGCCACCTCCACAACTGCCGCCCCAGGGCTTGGCTTTGCTGGAGCTCACCCGGAGCTGGCTGCACCCCGTCCTGAGCTGGTCGGGCTCTGCCACCCACCTCGGGCATCACCCCTGGCCCGAGGGACGGTGGTGTGGGCCTGGGGTGAGCCGCTGTGCCCTGCCCTGCCCTGCCGAGCTGCACTGCTGGCTTTTCACCACCCTGCCAGCTTCCCCACAGTGCTGCCTGTCTTGGGCTGTTCCAGCCTCTCCTGCTCCACACTGCCTTGAGCCGAGCCCGAGCATGGGGCCAAGTGTCAGCTGGGCACTTGGGATGTCCCCGTCCCTCTCCGTGGGGATGCTGCAGCCGGGGGAGCTGAGCCTCAAGGGGGCTCACGCAGGGGTTGGGGACCAGACCCCCAGGATGCTTCTCCCGAGAGTGGTGGGGGAGCCTGTGCCCAGGGGGGTCTGGACCCCGTCTCTGCTCTGCACCCGGCCATTTGCTTTCCTCCATTTTGTCCCTCTCTGCTGTTTCCTAGGGATCACCAGCGTCCCATGGCCAGCAGGGAGGAGCAGGAAAAGTTCAGGCAGGAGGAAATCCCCGTCCCCCGGGAGCTGCGGCCCCGTGACGCCTCCCTGCGAGCACAGTCTGGGGCAAGGCGAGACCAGGACGGTGCTGCTGACCCACGGGCCCGTCCAGTGCCTTGGTTTCCCCATGGACCATAGCAGGGCGGTGGCAGCCCTGGTACCAGGGGAGCAATGGGGGATCCCAAAGGGGATCAGACATGGGCTCCCAGCCTGGCCCTGCTGCTGGCCATGCCATCACCCTGCATCCCAGCCCTACGCATCCCCACGGCCCCATCCCCTGATGGTACCTCCTGAGTCTGGTCCTCATCCCAGAGGAAGATCTGCTGCTTTTTGGCGATGGTAGTCGTCCTGTAGAAATCCACCAGCTCGTTGAGGGAGTTGAACTTTTCCTCCCAGAGGAAATATTTGCCATTCCTCTCCCTGAGCACCTTGAAGTGCTGGACATGCTGCCCGTAGCTGCAGATGGAGGATGGACGTTACCCTGGCCCCGGGATGCTGGCAGCACCCAGCCCCTCTTCCAGCATCACAGGCAAAGCCCAGGGGCTGCTCGCTGGGCTGGTCCTCTGGAGGGGCTGTGCAGGCTGCGGCTCGGGCCCGCGGGGCCCCCACCCCCCACCCGCCCCCGCTCGGCACTGGGGTCATTCCTGGCTGGTGAGGCAGCGGGTGAGGGTCTCCAGCATGCCAGTGACATGGACCTGCAGCCGAGACCTGCCACAGCTCATCCCACACGCAGCTGAAGCTCAGTGCCTGACCCTGGCACAGCAGGATGCCCGTGGGCTCGGGGATGGCAGCGGTCCGGCCACGTGCAGGGCAGGTGGCTTTGTCCAGGGAGCAAACAGGGGCCACATCTGAGGCCACAGGGTCAAAACACTCACACAGGGCAGGTAAGAGCGCAGGGTGGCCATGCGCTTGGGCACTGGTGCTGCTTGGGCTTTCCTAAAAGCTCTGGGAGGGCTCACTGGGAAGGGTCTGGGGGAGGCTTGTGGTCCCTGCACCTCGCCAGAGCCCTTCAGCTGCATCCCCCTCTCCTTCCTCATTTTCCCGCTTCACTGCCAAGAGAAAGTGAGGTGAGAGCTGCAGGTCTCAGCTCAGCACGTACCGGGAGGGGACTGCAAAGGCTGGGCTCAGGCTCCCAAATCCCCTGTGCCCCCAGGGACTCCCAAGCTGCAGGAGAATGGGAAAGGCCAGGATTTCCCTCGCCAGCCCCGTGTGCTGGCACCCCCTCGGTGTGTACCTGGGGGTGGCAGTTTGGGGTGCTCACACTGCGGGGCTGGCATGGGGCCACCGCAGGG